ACAGTGGCAGTACTGTAGGTGGTTGTGACTGTGGCAGTACTGCAGGTGGGTGTGACAGTGGCAGTACTGCAGGTGGGTGTGACAGTGGCAGTACTGCAGGTGGTTGTGACAGTTGCAGTACTGCAGGTGGTTGTGACAGTGGCAGTACTGCAGGTGGTTGTGACAGTGGCAGTACTGCAGGTGGTTATGACAGTGGCAGTACTTCAGGTGGGTGTGACAGTGGCAGTACTGCAGGTGGTTGTGACAGTGGCAGTACTGCAGGTGGGTATGACAGTGGCAGTACTGTAGGTGGTTGTGACAGTGGCAGTACTGCAGCTGGGTGTGACAGTGGCAGTACTGCAGGTGGTTGTGACAGTGGCAGTACTGCAGGTGGTTTTGACAGTGGCAGTACTGCAGGTGGGTGTGACAGTGGCAGTACTGCAGGTGGTTGTGACAGTAGCAGTACTGCAGGTGGGTGTGACAGTGGCAGTACTGCAGGTGGGTGTGACAGTGGCAATACTGCAGGTGGGTGTTACAGTGGCAGTACTGCTGGTGGTTGTGACAGTGGCAGTACTGTAGGTGGGTGTGACAGTGGTAGTACTGCGGGTGGGTATGACAGTGGCAGTACTGTAGGTGGTTGAGACAGTGGCAGTACTGCAGCTGGGTGTGACAGTGGCAGTACTGCAGGTGGGTGTTACAGTGGCAGTACTGCTGGTGGTTGTGACAGTGGCAGTACTGTAGGTGGGTGTGACAGTGGCAGTACTGCAGGTGGTTGTGACTGTGGCAGTACTGCAGGTGGGTGTGACAGTGGCAGTACTGCAGGTGAGTGTGACAGTGGCAGTACTGCAGGTGGTTGTGACAGTTGCAGTACTGCAGGTGGTTGTGACAGTGGCAGTACTGCAGCTGGTTGTGACAGTGGCAGTACTGTAGGTGGTTATGACAGTGGCAGTACTTCAGGTGGGTGTGACAGTGGCAGTACTGCAGGTGGTTGTGACAGTGGCAGTACTGCAGGTGGGTATGACAGTGGCAGTACTGTAGGTGGTTGTGACAGTGGCAGTACTGCAGCTGGGTGTGACAGTGGCAGTACTGCAGGTGGTTGTGACAGTGGCAGTACTGCAGGTGGTTTTGACAGTGGCAGTACTGCAGGTGGGTGTGACAGTGGCAGTACTGCAGGTGGTTGTGACAGTAGCAGTACTGCAGGTGGGTGTGACAGTGGCAGTACTGCAGGTGGGTGTGACAGTGGCAGTACTGCAGGTGGGTGTTACAGTGGCAGTACTGCTGGTGGTTGTGACAGTGGCAGTACTGTAGGTGGGTGTGACAGTGGCAGTACTGCAGGTGGTTGTGACAGTGGCAGTACTGCAGATGGTTGTGACAGTGGCAGTACTGCAGGTGGGTGTGACAGTGGCAGTACTGCAGGTGGGTGTGACAGTGGCAGTACTGTAGGTGGGTGTGACAGTGGCAGTACTGCAGGTGGTTGTGACAGTGGCAGTACTGCAGGTGGTTGTGACAGTGGCAGTACTGCAGGTGGTGTGACAGTGGCAGTTACTGCAGGTGGGTGTTACAGTGGCAGTACTGCTGGTGGTTGTGACAGTGGCAGTACTGTAGGTGGGTGTGACAGTGGCAGTACTGCAGGTGGTTGTGACAGTGGCAGTACTGCAGGTGGGTGTGACAGTGGCAGTACTGCAGGTGGGTGTGACAGTGGCAGTACTGCAGGTGGTTGTGACTGTGGCAGTACTGCAGGTGGTTGTGACAGTGGCAGTACTGCAGGTGGTTATGACAGTGGCAGTACTTCAGGTGGGTGTGACAGTGGCAGTACTGCAGGTGGTTGTGACAGTGGCAGTACTGCAGGTGGTATGACAGTGGCAGTACTGTAGGTGGTTGTGACAGTGGCAGTACTGCAGCTGGGTGTGACAGTGGCAGTACTGCAGGTGGTTGTGACAGTGGCAGTACTGCACGTGGTTTTGACAGTGGCAGTACTGCAGGTGGGTGTGACAGTGGCAGTACTGCAGGTGGTTGTGACAGTAGCAGTACTGCAGGTGGGTGTGACAGTGGCAGTACTGCAGGTGGGTGTGACAGTGGCAGTACTGCAGGTGGGTGTGACAGTGGCAGTACTACAGGTGGTTGTGACAGTGGCAGTACTGCAGGTGGGTGTGACAGTGGCAGTACTGCAGGTGGGTGTGACAGTGGCAGTACTGCAGGTGGTTGTGACAGTGGCAGTACTGCAGATGGTTGTGACAGTGGCAGTACTGCAGGTGGGTGTGACAGTGGCAGTGCTGCAGGTGAGTGTGACAGTGGCAGTACTGCAGGTGGGTGTGACAGTGGCAGTACTGTAGGTGGGTGTGACAGTGGCAGTACTGCAGGTGGTTGTGACAGTGGCAGTACTGCAGGTGGTTCTGACAGTGGCAGTACTGCAGGTGGGTGTGACAGTGGCAGTACTGCATGTGGGTGTTACAGTGGCAGTACTGTAGGTGGGTGTGACAGTGGCAGTACTGCAGGTGGGTGTTACAGTGGCAGTACTGCTGGTGGTTGTGACAGTGGCAGTACTGTAGGTGGGTGTGACAGTGGCAGTACTGCAGGTGGTTGTGACAGTGGCAGTACTGCAGGTGGGTGTGACAGTGGCAGTACTGTAGGTGGGTGTGACAGTGGCAGTACTGCAGGTGGTTGTGACAGTGGCAGTACTGCTGGTGGTTGTGACAGTGGCAGTACTGTAGGTGGGTGTGACAGTGGCAGTACTGCAGGTGGTTTTGACAGTGGCAGTACTGCAGGTGGGTGTGACAGTGGCAGTACTGCAGGTGGTTGTGACAGTGGCAGTGCTGCAGGTGGTTGTGACAGTGGCAGTACTGCAGGTGGTTTTGACAGTGGCAGTACTGCAGGTGGGTGTGACAGTGGCAGTACTGCAGGTGGTTGTGACAGTGGCAGTACTGCAGGTGGTTGTGACAGTAACAGTACTGCAGATGGTTGTAACAGTGGCAGTACTGTAGGTGGGTGTAACAGTAGCAGTACTGCAGGTGGGTGTGACAGTGGCAGTACTGCAGGTAGGTGTGGCAGTACTGCAGGTGGGTGTGACAGTGACAGTACTGCAGGTGGGTGTAACAGTGGCAGTGCTGCAGGTGGGTGTGACAGTGGCAGTACTGCAGGTGGGTGTGACAGTGGCAGTACTGAAGGTGGTTGTGACAGTGACAGTACTGCAGGTGGGTGTAACAGTGGCAGTACTGCAGGTGGTTGTGACAGTGGCAGTACTGCACGTGGTTTTGACAGTGGCAGTACTGCAGGTGGGTGTGACTGTGGCAGTACTGCAGGTGGTTGTGACAGTAGCAGTACTGCAGGTGGGTGTGACAGTGGCAGTACTGCAGGTGGGTGTCACAGTGGCAGTACTGCAGGTGGGTGTGACAGTGGCAGTACTACAGGTGGTTGTGGCAGTGGCAGTACTGCAGGTGGGTGTGACAGTGGCAGTACTGTAGGTGGGTGTGACAGTGGCAGTACTGCAGGTGGTTGTGACAGTGGCAGTACTGCAGGTGGTTGTGACAGTGGCAGTACTGCAGGTGGTTGTGACAGTGGCAGTACTGCAGGTGGGTGTGACAGTGGCAGTACTGCAGGTGGGTGTGACAGTGCAGTACTGCAGGTGGGTGTGACAGTGGCAGTACTGCAGGTGAGTGTGACAGTGGCAGTACTGCAAGTGGTTGTGACAGTGGCAGTACTGCAGGTGGTTGTGACAGTGGCAGTACTATAGGTAAGTGTAACAGTGTTGTATGATTCATTAGTCGTTCTTTTGTTTCCAATATTTTTCTGTGTTCAGCCGTGCTAATCTCTGACTCCACTGCAATATACTGGGACCCTCGACCACATTTCTCATCCATCAATGAATTTCGTTCTTATGAGCACCATGTGACCAGTTTCCCACGAGACCGGGACAGAAGGGAAGGATGGGATTAGATACTGACTCTTATAAGGTCGGGGAATGATAGAAAGATTCAGTGTGAGGTCTGGCTGTGGACAAGAAATTCTGGGCAGTCTACTAGTGACTTACTCGGGGAGATACATAGATCTCCCAGATGGAATTCTGACTCGTTATAATAGCGTAGTCAGATGGAACTGTTATAAGGTTCAGTAATACTGTAAACTGTCTAAATTTAACTTCCCCTGTGCCTTTATTATCATTATTATTATTATTATTATTATTATTATTATTATTATTATTATTATTATTGTTATTATTATTATTATTATTATTATTATTATTATTATTATTATTAGTTTTAAATTTTTCCCTCGTTTCATGATTCCTGACTAAGAATATTAATTATTTTGATGTATACTAAAGAGATAGATAGATTTATGTACTTCAGTACATCTCTTGATCACCTCGTCTAAAGTGTAAGATAATGAATTGAAGAAGATAGCTAGGGTAGAAGGTTTCGTAATTATGCTCGCGTTATCCTATCCTCGTTATCCTGTCGCACCTTCGTTATCCAGCAATTGTTAGTGTGTGGCAGTGGGAGTACTGCGAATGGGTGTGAGTGTGCAAGAATTGCAGGTGGATGTGACAGTATCAGTACTCCAGGTGGATGTGACAGTATCAGTACTCCAGGTGGATGTGACAGTATCAGTACTCCAGGTGGATGTGACAGTATCAGTACTCCAGGTGGATGTGACAGTATCAGTACTCCAGGTGGATGTGACAATATCAGTACTACAGGTGGATGTGACAGTATCAGTACTACAGGCGGATGTGACAGTGTCAGCACCGCAGGTGGATGTGACAGTGTCAGCATTGCAGGTGGGTGTGACAGTGTCACACCGCAGGTGGGTTTGACAGTGTCAGTACCGCGGTGGATGTGACAGTGCCAGTACCTCTTGCACTGTGTCACAAACACTGGCTCAATCTTTGTCAGCTGCATCAGTTACAACACTGACTGGATGAAGAGTATTTTACCAGCATTAAAGGGAAGAGTGATGGGAAAATTATTAAAAGCTGTATTCTACACGATATATTCACAAAATATCATCGTACCAACACTTACGGTGTCGCTGCTGTTGTCGTAGTTATCCTCATAGTTGCACTGGCTCTGTGCCGGACTGGTAGTGTTGTTGGTGTGACTGCTTACCATGGCCACGATGGTCAGGTTCATGTTCACTCTCAGCATGTAGTTGAACACCATGCCCAAGAATGCCATTATCGCTACAATGTACCGCTTTGGCACATACCCTGGTGATTACGAAAATAATATATTACATATTATGGTACGGAGCAGAACATTCTACCCAATAACTGAACACAAAGGTATGTGGTACCCACATGTGGAGAAGAGAACACCTGACTAAGCAGACCTCTACCACAGCTGTATGCAGATGGGGCCCTCATTCGCACAAGCAATAAGCTATTATGCTTGAAGTTGGTTATTGATGGTATGTGTGAAAGTTAAGACACATGTGCAACATCTGGTTATCTTTATTGTAGACGTTTCGCCATCCAGTGGCTTTATCAATACAGATTCTAGGACATAATTAGAAGACAGTAGAACTATATACAAAAGATGAGGTAATCAGTCCTTCATTCAGTCTTGGAGTTGGAGCACCGTGGTGAAAGAGATTCTGGAGCAAAGGCAAGGAGACTGGCGCTTATATAAGCGTCAGTGGATAGGGACGTGAAGCGGACGAGGGCATAGTCATTGGTAGGCGGAATTCCCCAGTGGAAATAGGTCCTACCCAAAGGGATGGGTTAGTTGTAGTATGTGTGATTGTGGCTGTGTGATGCACATTGAATATTATAAAGTACTAGATATACAACACAGAAGGTAAAATCCAGGAACATAAAAATATAAAAAAAAAATGTACAGATCGAACTCAACAGATGATTACAGAAAAGTTATCAAGAGACAAGAATGATTGCCTTATGGTGGCGAGGAGAGAGAAGCTGAAAAAATAAAATAAACATACTAGCCGAGACATAGTAAGTTTATAGTCACAACAGTAGGAAAATGACAAAGTATCAAGTAATAAAACTAAGAAAATAAGTACGAACACTCCAGGAAATCACAGCGAGCTATATCATAAAATTCAATTCTGAATTTACAATTGAGCAAAAGCCGCTATAAGATACAGACGAGATGAACCAAGGAGAACTGTCAGTCAGTGAAGCAACTAGTAAGTGTGTAGACAGCTCATGTAACTTAATACATCACAGGCATCAGATGCAATATACCCACGAACATTAAGAGGAGCTAAAATACTAGAGAAGAGCTGAAATACTAAAAAAAAAAAAAAAAAAATAGGCATTCGCAAAGATATTTAACAGATTATCAACGTCGAGTGAGGTGCTAAATGACTGGAAGATTTCAAATGGGATACTCATGTTTTAAAAGATAAGTACAAAACCTTCAATTAATACCAGTGTAACTCAGAAATTCCCTAACAATTGTACTTGAAAATTGCTGGCAAACATTATGAAGAGACCGGAGGAACAACTTGAAACTATTACAGTCCTCACAGGCTTACTGAGTCTTGATAAATTAACATAGATCAGATAGGAAAAAGAGATATGAGTGAACTGTACATTTGAAGCAGCGTTTTATGACCCTTACGGGTTCAGCGCTTAGTTATGATTATAATAATATATATTCAAAGAAGGAAAAAAATTTTTTGATGAGGTGGTACACAGAGGAAACTGGAGAAAAATAAACCGTGGTACAATGAAAGACATTTTCATTATAATGGGGAATATATGAAAAAGAGAACGAGAGAATTATCGTCTTGGGAAGGCCTATCCCAACCATAGAAATGATTTTATTTTAAAATTGTCCATCACAGAGCGTGGCAATAAAAAAACCCTTCCTGTCTCATATATATAATTGTTAATGCCCCTCTGTAATGATGGAAATATCGTCATTAAAAAAATTTATTTGTCCTGTTTACAGGAGAGGCCATCCTGGGGTATGATAATCCGCGAAGAAATAATTCCACTTCTGGAAGGAAACCTTTGACTCTCCCTTAGTTGGCAGACTTTTAATGGAATACTTAATACTGAAGTCTCCGCGTTCAGGCTGAAAGATTTTAATGCAATGTGTCAAATCCACCCCACGTGATGCATTATTACAAGCACATCAAGCTATGGTTGCCACAGCACAGCTCTCATATGGAATACAGCCTTTGCTGATGAATCAAATTTTGATAAATAAGATACTGAGAGAATGTAAATAGCAGAACTCCAAAAAGAGTTGTTTCTGCTGTATAGTAAAGTCATGCACAAGAAATAACTTCTACATACCCTTAGTCTGCGGAAAATGAGACGTTGATGATGAAATATAAATTGAGGAGAATGAAAAAAAGGCTTCAGGAAAACTTGAATTTCAACGCGAGCAAAAGAAAATTTAGAAACTTAATGACTGGAAAAGAAGACCGAAGACTGAGTCACATTTATGGATAAAAAATCTCACAAAGAGTTAAATTAGAAGATCTTTGCCAATTAATAACCCACATGGGAACAGATACACGGAAAATGAGTCTGTGGGTTATCACTTAACATCAACAAGCTTACATTACACGTGTACCGGTTACATATTGATATCAACGACGATGACGATGACGATAATGATGACGATGATGATGATGATGCTTCTTAAAAGTACACATATAACATTATTATTATAAGACTCAAAATTAAGTGCTAAATCCACAAGAGTCGTATACCACAGCAACATCATTACAGGTTAAGCTTTCAAACATAAGCAAACCTTTCAGGAACCTGGATATTCTCGTTCAAAAAACTTATTTCATGTGTACTACACATTCTTGAGTACCCAGCATCATTGTGGGAACCCTTATTCTTGAGTACCCAGCATCATTGTGGCAACCCTCATTCTTGAGTACCCAGCATCATTGTGGGAACCCTTATTCTTGAGTACCCAGCATCATTGTGGGAACCCTCATTTTTGAGTACCCAGCATCATTGTGGGAACCCTCATTCTTGAGTACCCAGCATCATTGTGGGAACCCTCATTCTTGAGTACCCAGCATCATTGTGGGAACCCTCATTCTTGAGTACCCAGCATCATTGTGAGAACCCTCATTCTTGAGTACCCAGCATCATTGTGCGAACCCTTATTCTTGAGTACCCAGCATCATTGTGGCAACCCTCATTCTTGAGTACCCAGCATCATTGTGGGAACCCTTATTCTTGAGTACCCAGCATCATTGTGGGAACCCTCATTCTTGAGTACCCAGCATCATTTTTTTGGAAACCCCTCATTCTTGAGTACCCGATCTTTTGTAAAAACCCCTTAAATTTTGAGTACCCAGCATAAATTGGGGGAACCCTTATTCTTGAGTACCCAGATCATTGGGGGAACCCTCATTCTTAAAGTACCCAGCATCATTGGGGGAAATCCTCTTTCCCTTGAGAAACCCAGCATCATTGGGGGAAACCCCTTTAAATTCTTGAGTCCCAAAAGCATCATTGTGGGGTAGTATATATTGGTCGATCTAGGAACACGCCGGATAATGACCGGGGGAAAATGCGATAATGAGGGGGTTTTTGCTTTACAGGGAAATTTTTTTAATTTAAAAAAATCTTTCCCCCAAAGGGGATAAAAGAGACTTTTCCCCAAATGCATTAATAAGTGGTACAAAAAGTAAAAAAAGGTTTTCGGGTGTGAGGTGGCAGATTCCGGGTTAATGAGTGTAAAAAAAGAAATGTGTAATGGGTGGTCTGCATAAGCACGGGTTTGCTGTGGGGGGTACTAGTTTAAATTGTTTAATATCCCCCCAGGGGATAGAGAGATTTATTTCTGTGAAATTTTACAAAAGTATGGAAGGTAGGTAATGATCACTTCTGAAAACCCCCAAACTCAATCACTTGATAGTGGGAGGGGCGTAAAAAAAATTTTTCAGGGGTGCAGGGGGCAGTTCCCGGGGATAATAGTGTGAAAAAAAAAATGTGATAATGGGGTTGGTCTTCATAAGCCCCAGGTGCTGTAAGGGGTACAAGTTTTAAATATTTTTAAAACACCCCCCAAGGGGGGATAGAGAGAGGAGGGCTTATTTCTTTTGTAACCCCCTAATTATAAGAAGGTAGGGAAATTGATCCTTTTGACCCCCCCAAACTCAACACTCTGATAGATGGGGGGAGACAGTACAAAGGATTCGGGTTTGCTGGGTAAAGCTTACATTTTCCGAGGGAGCCCCCCCCCCCCCCTTCCCCCGGGCCCTTTGCAAACTCACTGAGGGCGACGTTTCTACTTCACAAAAACCACTGCGGGTTTTTTAAAGAACGGGGTTAATGGATGGCAGCGGGGTCCCCGAGGGAGTTTTGCTCGCCCGTCCGTACCTGGGCCCAAAAAAAAAAAGGTTCTTCCGGGTACTAGGTAGTTTTTTAAATTCTTCCCCGTGCTAGATCTTTCCAGGTGGGGGAGGGCCTTTAAAGAGTGGGAGGGGCCCCTTTCTGGGGAAGGGGGGGGAACCTTTGTGCTGATAGAGTCTTATGGGGAACTTTGACAAAACTTTTTCCTCTCAAAAGGGGAAGGGTTTAAGTGTGGAAATTGTTTTATATATATAATATATATTTTATATATATATATATTATAAATATATTATATATATTTTTTTAGACTAGAGAAGATAGTAAAAATATTTTATATTAAAAAAAAATCAGAGTTTGTAAATATTTTTTTTAAATTTCCCACATCCAAAAGGAAAAAGGTAAAATTTTTTTTAGCGCGAGCAAAGGGGCGAAACTGGGGGAGTTTTACGGGTTTAGATGAATGACTGCGCTCCCCTTTTTTCCCAATTTTCTGTAAGTTTGATAACCTCCCGCTGAAAATGTTTTCCTTTTCGGGTTACATATCATAAACTGCCGCCTTTCCCCCCTTCTCCCGGTTTTAACCCCTTCTGCTGGCTTTACTGCGTTCCACTTTTACTCTACTTGGGGGGTTTTTTCCCTTCCTTTTTCCGCCTGACCTTTAGGGTCCCGCTTCAAGGTCCCCAGTTTTTCAGCACCTGTTTTTCCCGGCATTTGGACCTAAAACGAGTCATCAATTGAGCAGGGGGGAAGGGGGTAGAGAGGTCCACAACGGGGGTTTCATAAAAATGACATGAGGGAAGGCTCGGGCTTTTTCATGTTGTCGGATCTGGTTCTTTCTTCAAAAGGCTCCCTATATCAAAATGAACTGACCCCATTTTCCCAAAGGCTGTAAGTCAAAAGAAAACATTTTTTTTCACTTTCAAATAAAGGAGTGGGACTGGGTCTCAAATTTCTCCCAAAAGGGGAGGGAACTAGAAAAAAACTTCCCCTTTTCCTGGGGAAAGGGCCAAATGTTTGCTTTTTCCTGCAAATCATCACAATGAACCGTTTTGGGAGTTTGAAGCCGG